GCCCTGAGCTCCTGTCCCAGATGCCCCTATGTGCCCAACTGAGATCGCCAAAGGGGCACTGACACGCAACCTGCCAGAGCAGACATCTCTTGGAAATGGGTGTCTCCTCTGGTGAGCACGGGGGAAAGATGGCATTAGCTGCAGAGGTGCCCACGTTTCTGGAATGCATTTGGCCCTGCCACTTGAAGATACCAAATGGACAGGAGATGTTCATTTATGGCCTGAGTTGCTTTTTTTCCCCACAATGTGCATCATCCTGCTACTCTTTGAAGTGGTGCTGAAGCATTTTATCTGTTTATACCAAGCTGAATGAAATCTATTACATGTTACTGTTTATCTTGCTGCTCCAGAGTCCTCTGCTGTTTGAACAGTGTTTTATGATGGGTCTGTTTCCAGGGAAGGAGATTGGCTCGTGAGGACCTGATCTGGAAAGGAAGTTGCACCTGCTCAAGAAGCAGGAAGCACTTAAGACAGATCCAGTCTACTGGTGCAATGCCACCTTATACTGTATTGGTTTAAGGAGCAACAAGCTTCAGAGTTTGGGGACTTTCTTCTTCAAGAAGAAAACCTTCCTTCTTGTCTTTTCAGGAAAGCTGACACATCCTGGCCCCATGATCTTCTAGCACGTCATTTCTTTAACCTGCTTTCAAGAAAAGCTTTCCGACATTTGTTCCGAGGTCGACCTACTGCAACCTTTAGCCTCAACTGGGTTCTCACAAGACAACTTCAAGTGGAGGAGGCTTCTGCAGTGGGAAAACAGATCAGCAGAGGTGTGGGAGTGAGAGAGGTGCCCCTTCTCCACCTGGAACACAGCATTGTGCAACCACCCTGAGGTGATCTCTGCTCCAGAGAGGCTCCTGCCTTCTCTGCAAGAGGCAGAGGTGGAAAGCATTCCAAAGGGTTCCCTTCACTCCTTTTGATGAGGCAGAAGTGAAGCACCCTAACCTGCAGGCAGCCCTTCCCTATTTTTGGAGCAGGGAAGGGGGAGAAGGAAAGTAATTACAGACAACAAGTCTGATAAGAAAGCAACTTAGTGAAAGCAACAGGTGAGCATGCTACCCATGGAGGCAAATCTCCAGGCAAGAATTCTGCCCCCTCCCAACAGGCAACAGTGCATCCATCCCTACTGCTCCCCAGCCCCTCCCTGGCACATGACCCTTCTGATCTCACAAGAAGTCCCTTGCCAAATAACTCACCCCACCCCCAGTGGCAGAGAGCAAGCCATCCCTGGGCAAGAATTAAACCTGCATTCCTTCCCCACCCCACCTGAAACAAACACACCTGAGAGGAGTATAGATAAGCCAAAAAGAGAGGAAGGAGGTAAGGAGAAAGCAGAACCAAATTTTATTTAGTCTATAAACCCAGCCCTAATAAAACAGAAAAGGGGGCAGGAGGAACCCTAAGTGAGTGCTACAAGTAACAGGCCCTCTTGAGCCTGACCTTGTGGTTTAGGAACACTGAAATGGGGTCCTCTGCCCACGTCGCCCCAAAGGGCACCTCTCCTGGCTGGTGGCAGCAGCAGCAGCAGCAGCTCTGCACGATTCCTTCACAGTCCAACCCAAGAGGTGCTGCTGGGGACTTAATCCGGAACCACCATCCTTGCACATGCTCCGCCATTCAGCTATAGCCGCTCCCTTCACTTTGTCATTCGTAAGCAAT